ATCTACCTATATTGATAACGTCTTATTCTTTGATTTATTATTTAGCGTGTCATATTCTCTAAATTTATTATTACTACTTGTTTATGTTTTTTATACTGTATTCAAAAACAACAAATAAATGCAAGTAACAATATGATAAACCGTTATATACTGATCGATTTACATGATCAATAGTTCTATAATAAATGTTACTGTAAAGAATGAAAATATTACAATAATTATTATAAAAAAAATAACTAATGAATTATTCTTATTTGGGGCATTGGTATCTTTCTAAAGAGCTAAATTTTTCCTAAGTAATCTTAAGTGTAGTAAATGCTCCTTTTAGAAAAATAAATAGAAGTTTAATATTATTTTTACTATGGGGATCGTCTTTCACCAGTGATTAAGGTGATAAAGGTATATAAATAAAAAGGACATAAATGGTGTTTCACATAATAATAATATTCGTCGTGTTATTGATTTCCCAAAATTGGCAGAATTCCTTAATTTTTTTATTCAATAAAAAATAAAATAACTTGTTAAATCAGGAAATTTTATTTCAAAAATATTTTTTTTTTGAAAAAGCAATACTCTAAAGTAGATTTAGCAACACAAGATATATAGATATATATTGAACATAAAACAATAAACAAAAATGCAAGCTTCTAACTTTAACGAATATAACAATAGTAACAACAACAACAACAACAACAACAACAACGATGACGACGACGACGACAACAACAATGTTGATTTATCAATGAATTTTACTTCTGTTAGAAAAGCAAGACCAATTTCAATATTTATTCATCCTCAAGAAAGTTTATCAAAAAATTCAATAGAAGCATCGTCACCATTAAGCGATCTACACGAAGATTTATCCATGATCTTGAATAATGGATTTGCCACTACTATGAGTTCTAGTAATGCTACAACTGCTAGTACAACAAATTATGCTACTGATACTACATCTACAACAAATACAGAAACAACAATTGCAACTTCAAATAATATAACCTCAACTCCTCATATTTTGGAGAACGTAATAACGTCAGCTTCAGAGATTGATGTTGCCTCTTTGAACTCTGTCAAGACTATCGAAACAAATCAAACGTTTGAAAGTTCGTCATCGTTGTCGTCGTCGTCGTCGGATAATATTAACAAATCAAATGGATCAAATGGGCCACCGAGTGGATCGAATAACGGATCATTTGAGATGATCAAAACGCTTTGTGAATTAGATGTAGGCGATATATATCTTATCCTCAAATCTTCTCTCTATAATAATTCTCTCCGTGCGTGTATATGTGTATTAATATAATAATTTCATAATAATTTCATAATAATAATAACAATAATAATAACAATAATAATAAATAAAAAAATAAAAAAGGGTGGATTGAGTGCAGCTTTAGAACGAGTTAAACAAGATGCGATATCAGCAAAAGCATGTATATTATAATAATTATTTCATTTATCAAATTTTTTGATATTTAGATTTACATATAATCTTGATAATAATAATATTGTTGTTGTTTGTTATTAGATGTTTGTGGAATTCTTGGAAAAAAGAGCTGCCATCGAAGAAAGTTATGGACGCGAGCTAATTAAATTGGCGAAAAATACTCAAGATAAATATTTGAGTAAAAGTGATACAAAGAAAGGGTAAATTTTTTTTATGAACTTGCTTTATTTATTAATATTAATATTACCATGATTATTATTGTTAACTTCGTTGTTATTATTATTGTTATTATGTAGTTCATATGGTGATTGTTGGATTGATATGATGAAATTGCATGAATCAGTTGGAGAAAACAGAATTAGATTTGCTGCGACAATTCAAGAGATTTCTGATGAAGCTTTAACATTATATAAAGATACTGACAAGAGCAGAAAAAATGTATAAATAATAATACTCCAATTACCAAAAGGCCTATTATTAGTCTAATTTATAGTGTATTTACTTACTAATATATTTATTATTTGTAATGATGATATTAGCTCTATGATTCTGGTCAGAAACATGTAAAATCAATCCAAGAAGCGGAACGATCTTTAGAAAAGGTATTCTTTTAATTAGATATGATCGACATAGTTGAATAAATGATTAAAACATGTATTGATTATAATTTTAGGCCAGGAGTAAATATGAATCAAATAGTGAAGATTGGGAACGTTTAATATTACTGAAAAATGGCGATACTCTGCCTCCTAGTATGAAATCGAAAACTTTAAAAACCATATTTTCAAAACAACCAAAGTCTCCAACACAAGTAAACTTTCATTATTAATTTACGAACAAACAATAATTAATGATGCCGATAATAACATTTTCTTAAAAAAATTTAGTATTTAAAAATGGAGGAAGATGCTAGGAATAAGGCTGCTGCTGCGAATAGATATTATAAATCGCAATTATCAGGTGCCAATTTAATGCGTAATGAATATTATAATATTCATCTTCCTAGAATAATTACAGAACTAAAGAGCGTTGCTGATGAATGCGATGCTGGACTTCAATATCATCTGGCACGATATTCATATTTATATGAAAATGCAATGGTTTCCGATGCATCGGCGATAAGTCCTGTTGATCTAGAAGATGGTAAATAATTTTAGATTTCTAAAGTTTTTTAGAAAATGATAATAATGCTATTTGTTGTTTATATTTATCATCAATTATATCAACTATTATTAATAGGTCCAGCACTTCGTACCATTGTTGAGCAAATTAATAATGACTCTGATTACCTGAATTATGTACAATCATTTAGAAAAAAATCTCAAAAATTAAAAATAAACGAGATTCCTTATAATCAATACAATATGGTAACAGACAAATTATTTTTTAAAATGAAAAGTTGTTTTCTATAGGTTTTTTTATTAATTTTAATTGTTTATAGTCTGAACAAGCAATTAATATTATAAATCCTACAAATCCTAAATCTGTATTTGGAACTGATTTATCAGAATTAATGAAAAGAGATGGTGGAGTTGTACCAATTATACTAAGGAAATGTGTTACGGCTGTTGAAAAATATGGTTAGAAACAATATTGTGTGGTGATGGTTGGGATTATTTTTTTTTTTTGAATAAATAATTACAATTTTTTTTGCAAAAAGGCTTAGAAAGTTTAGGTATTTATCGATTGTCAGGAGTTACGTCACAAGTTCAAAGTTTAAAATCATTGTTTGACAAAGGTAATTGTTAATGTTGTTACTCTGGTAAACAAACAAATTTATTAACAAATTACGCACGCGCATATATATTTATGTATTATAATAGATGCCGAGTCAGTTGATTTGGATTCCGAGGAGAATCTTAAAGATATAAATAACGTTTCGAGTCTTTTAAAGTTATGGTTTCGTGAACTACCCGATCCTTTATTTCCAAGAACAATGTATCAAGATTTTATTAATGCTGCTAGTAAATATATATTTATATTAGTAATTATTTATGAAGTATCAAATTTATTGAATAATTTTAATAATTCATTTTTATTTTATTTATTTGAAAGAAATTAATGATGAGAAACAACGTGTTCTCAAGCTTCATCAAACGATTAATAATTTACCAGATGCAAATTATATTTCATTAAATTACCTGATGGAACATTTAGATAAGTAAATATCTTCATCATTTTCATCATTTTTATTATGTAAAGTACATACATACATATATTTATATATATATTTACTAATCAAAAATAAATTTATATATACATATATCTTTTGATAATAAACAGATTAGTTGCAAATCAAGAATATAATAAAATGTCTGTGAAAAATTTAGCAATAGTTTTTGGACCAACTTTATTTGGAAATGGTGGTAATATTGGAACTAGTAATAATGTTGGTAATAGTGTTGGTGGTGTACAGCAGCAGAATCCAATATCAGAATCAGTAGTACAATTCACACCGTCATCTCAATCGCTATTGGGAATAGCAGCAGCATCTCAACAACAAAGTCTTATTGACATGATGCTAGAAAGCAATGATACAAGCTATCAATGTAAAGTTGTAGAGACAATATTAAGTAATTATAAAGCTATTTTTGTACAAGATGAAAGTTAGTGAATATTCGGATTATTGTATAATTATTGTATAATTATTTTATCTTTTTGCTTTACTTTTTTGGAATAATGTATGTATGTAATTAAATTGTTTTTTTATATTTTTTATTATTTATAATTTTCATCATCATCGTAATCATCATCATCATCATCATAATCATCATCATCATCATTATTTATTTATGTTTTTTTTTTAAATAAATATCCACAATTTTATAAGACTTCAATATATTAATGTCATTATATATATATATACATTATTATTATTATATACCTGACATAATGATAATAACAACAATAATAATTATATAATAAAACAAGTTTTGATTCGAATGCTCAAAATACAAAATATTTAATTAAATAACAATTTTTAAAAAAAAATTGTAAAATAAATAAGTTAATTAATTATTAGTGAAAATGTATAGGGCATTTTCCACTTCTTGCAAACCATCCTTGTATACAATGATGATGATATGAACATAAACAATTTAAACGAGTTACCGTTTCGCCTAAAAAAAAATTTTTTTCAATCGATCAATCAATCAAATCAAAATAATGAATTGAACTTAAATTAATGAATTAATTAATAAAAATAATTAATTACCAGCAGAAAATTCTTCAAAACAGATAGGACATTCTTGACCAATTAACGAGTTATTTTGTGGGAGTTTGTAGACTATTTTTATTTTTTTTGATTGTTTGGTTGGCGAATTATGTTTTGTGTTGTGTGATATGAATGGTGTCGATTCCGTGAATTTATCGTATTATTAATTTATTATTTATTATTATTATTATATATAAAATTTTAAAAGGGAATAAAAAAGGATGAATGAATCATATATATATTATATATGTGGTGACAACAATATAAGAAACCATATAAATTTTTAATAATAAATTAATATTATTATTATAATTATTATAATTATTATAATTATTACTACTACTATTATTTATTAGAGGGATCTTTATATTTTTTTTTTGTTTTAAAAAGCGATTTTTTGCTCACCCACATATTTATAAACACTAACACTGTTTCCATTCTGATTTTCAAGACAGTTTTTGATATGTTCTTGATCAGATTTTGAACCTGGAACCTTACTCAACGTCATATTGCATACTGGACATTCTGCCATGGTTGAACTATTACTTGATTTCCTGTTATGACGAGACGATATCGATGATGATGATGACCCTACTACACTTATTGATGTTGATGAAGTTATACTATTGGAACGTTTTTTTTTTGTAGGATGTCCCATTGATGAATGACATGAGTCACAAACACGATGATATTGTGAAGCTGAAGAAGAAGACGATGATGAATCATTTGGTGCCGATGGATCAAATATTACTTGAGAAGGCGGTAAAATAAGTCGAGAAAGTGAACATCTATCACAAACAACTTGACCACATCGTCTAATTAAAATAAATAGGATTTTTGTTTATTAATAAAAAAAATCAAAATATGACTTTTATTTTATATTATTATTATTAATTACCTGCAATGATGCCTTCTAATCCACAAGTTAAATCTTCTTCGGCATTGGCGGCACTCGTGAACATCATCATCATTTTCCCAAACTCCAAATGAGGTGATTGAGTTTGTAGTAGGAACACTGCTGATGTTTAAACTAAATTGTGAATTTAATCTGGTAGGAGAAGTCATCATTGATTGCCCATTACCAACACCACCATTTCCATAATAATTGGAAAATGATGAATTGCCAGCAACATCATCATTTGTAGTAGTCATGGACCATGGATCTTCTATTGTTTCAAAACTTTTAAAACTAGTAGTTGATGGTGCTCTAATATTAGTAAAATTATTCTTATACTTATTCTTAATGATTCCATTATTTGTATTACTGACATTATTATAATCATTACTACCACCATCACCATCATTATTATTACTGTCATGAATATTACTACCATTGTTGTCATCATCGTCATCATCATCGTCGTCGTCATCATCATCATCATCATCCACAGCAACACTATTTCTTAATTTACTAATAGGTAGTTCTAATTTAAAGATATTGTTAGATGACGAGTTTGGTATATGAGTAGGTGTCATTGGTACATCATGAAAACTTGAAGTTGGAGATTTTGCATAAACATCACTATTGCCTTTTCTGATACTTTCCAAATATTCTGAATGTTGTGTAAAACTATCTATAAGTGAATTCGCTTCTTGTTTTCGTTCATTATCTGTTTCAGCTATATGATTTTTTTAAAAAATTGTATTGTTAATGTTGAATCAAAAATAAATCAAGTAACAAGAAATGCATACATATGTAAATCAATAATACAAACATTCAATTCCAGTTTTTAAAATTCTAATTGCTTCTTTATATCGTATTAACTGTTCCGACATATCAATACTTTCTCTTTTGTTATAGTCTTGACTAAGCTTTATAATAGTTTCAGCTTTTTCTATATAATCTAATTGAGAATTATTTTCATTGATAAATCTTAAAGGATTATTTGATTCAGAAAGATTCATACGACGTTTCATCACACGAACCCATCTTCTTCGTCTGACCCAAGTATTTGCATTTGCAGGCGGTATTATCGACCATTTTTTATCTGCTTCATCAAAACTTCTAGCATATTGCCACCCTTGTGCATCTATACGTGGATGAGTCATGTCAACATGCCATTCATCCACCCAAAACCATAGTCTAGTCTGAGATCGTGACGAGATATTTGTAACAATTGACACGGTTGAAGAATTGGGACCTACAGGAAGCTTCACCGCTTCTTTGGATGATGGTTGACCACTAGGATAAAGAGACCAAGGGCTGCAATAGTCTGTTTTCAAAAGATTTGCGGCAGAATATTTTGGTGGTCTTCGAAGAGAGACTGGAAAAATGGATGAAGCTCGTTGATTTTCATGAAGAATAATAGGTACAGATATATGAAAAGCAAAAACATCATATGGTTGATTTATTGGTGGCAAGGAATTTTCAAGATCCCTAAAAGATATTGCTATTGAAATATAAATATATATTTAAAAGGAAAGCCTTCGATTAATCTATACATATACATATATATATATTTATAATTGCAACAACAAACAAATACTTATTCATTGCATACGTTCAGGTATAGCTCTCTTTCCTTTCCACCAATCACGCTCAGCCTTTTCTAATAATTCACAAATATAAGCTTCATTACTTGTTGCAGCTGAATCAAATGCAGTCTCACCAAAACTGTTCTTAATAAAAGGATTAGCACCGGCACGATTTAAAAGATACTCGACAATACCAACATGTCCTCTTGATGAAGCATTCACTATAATTTATAAAAATCAGTTGAATTACACTTTCCACTTTCATATTCATAATAACATCAAACAATATGTAATAAAAATAAAAAGTATAATATAATCAACCAAAGAAATATACTTAAAGGCGTGATGTTTTTGTTGCTTCCAACATCAACGTCTGCTTTAGCTACTTCTAATAAATGTTTTATTATTGGAAGATAACCTTGTGCAGATGCATTGTGAAGTGCAGTCCACCCATCATTATCTTTCTGTGAAACATTTGCTTCTTTTTCTAAAAGATATTTAACAACTGATATATGACCGTTATAAGAAGCTTTCAAAAGAGCATTCTATTTAATTATTTAAAATGATAAATAAAAGTATATTAATTTTTTTTGATTGAAGAATCAAAAAAAAAATTTTTAAAAAAAAACAAAGAAAATATATTTTAACTTACTTCACCAGTTTGATCTTCTAAATCAACAATAGCACCGGCATACTCTATCAACCATTCAACAATTTCTAGGTGGCCACGGGAAGCAGCATAATGAAGTGGTGTTAAACCTGAAGAAAGATTCGGAATATTTGCACGGTGAAAAGCTGTAACTATTCCACCAGAATCTTTAGGTGCTAAAAGTTCTTTAACCTTATCCAAGTTGCCAGCAGCAGTTGCTTCATAAATGTCCATATCAGTGGTGTCTTTTGAGAACTCGGACTGACGAAATGTACTATTGTTAATATTCATAGAATTTGGAGGCAGTCTAACTTGTTTTAAACGAATGTTGCTGTACGTAAATATTCGTGTACTTCATCCGGAGTGGGGGATGAATCATTTCAGGAATTTCTGTAATAGATGGTGGGGTCGGAGAAGAAAGCATATTTGGATTTTGGATTTTACAAGATTTACAAGAATGTATTCCTTCCTATTCAAATTTACCATTTTGTAATACAAAGAATTTCCAAAAAAAAATTCATTAATAATAATAGAAAGAGATAAAATTAAGGTTTGTTGATAAAAAATTTTTATTTCATGCAAGTACGACGAATATAGATTAGGTAGGATAGTAAAAACTAATTATTGGCTGAGAGAACCGTTAATCTGTCTCCCTTACCAAATATTAATTAATATTTTGTGGAGGTTTGATAGTACAACGTTAATATAATAATAAAAATAATAAAACTTACAAGAAATCGGAATAATTGTTATTGTCAATTTTTTCTATTATTCTTCTTTTTCTTAATATTTATATTATTTATACTATCTTTATTATTCTTATTCTTATTCTTATCCTTATTATCATTCTTATTATTGGAAATGTAATCACATTTTTCTAACAAGTCTCTAGCACAGTTATTTATATCTCTAAATCTATCTGTTATTAAAAAATAATTTTAATTTAATTGCAAAATATTAATAACAATAATTAAAAATAGTTTACCTGGTCCTAATAATATTCCACCATACCATCTTGTGACTACCACAATAACATTCCTTGAATCAAGCATTTGTAATAAATGTAATAATCTGCTACCTGCTGCTGTTTCTCCATCATCATCATTATCTTTCAAAATAAAATTTCATTATGATTATTCCTTGGATAAAAAAGTCATTCATTAATACTAATTAATGATAATTAAAATAATAATTGATACCTTGTAATATTGCACCATTATCTAGTAAAATTCTATAAGCCATTATATTATGTGTAGCTTTAGCAATTTTTCTATCAGATAGTAACATAGATCTTACAAGCTTCACTTCTTGAATATTGTTTACCTTTGCCAAATGTGCCAGAAAGATTGATTTTTTATGTTCTAAAGGTTCACCATGAAATATCTTGGGACATGTTTCTGAATTTATATTTTTAATATTTTCTAAATTTAAATTTTTATCAACTGTCATCAACTCTTCTTCCACCTTTTCGTTGACCTCATTTCCTTCAGAATTATCATTATTAATGTTAATGGAAGAAAATTCATCTTCTAATAATTTATTTAATAGGTAGTCTTTCAACCACTCAATCCAAGAAAATATTACCACTTCACCAGGAACAAAAAGTTTTCTAAAGTTCTGATCAATCTCTAACCTAATCAAATCATCAATTTTCATTACACCACAATATACACTCAATATCTCATAAATTGGTGGCTCATCAGATGGATAGTCTAAAGAAAAATAAAACCTTATTTTAAGTTCTTTTTTACTACCAACATTGCTATTATTATTGTCATCTAAAGATAACTTAAAAATATAGGTTGAAAAAGATGAGACAGAATCGGTTGCCTTTTTTTCTTCCTCTTCTTTTTGAAAAGAATCTTCACCAAATATTGAAGTTATTGCTAAAATTTCATCTTCTTTTAAAGTTACATTATCAGTCATTTTTAAATAAATGAACCATTCAAAATTTGAACACCAAAAATTCAGGGGTTCATGAAATATTAATATTAATGTGGTACAACTTTTTATTGGACGTGTAGATCCAGGTCTACTATGTTTATAATAATAATGAACGAATTGGAAGAGAAAATTTTTTATAATAATATTTATTTTTTATGGTTGTTAACAATTCTTTCAAATCATCAAAATAAAAATATCAACAACGATAATTTTTTTATGGGCGCGTAACAATCCTTTAATCATTGAAATCATTAATCTATTTTTTCAAGTTGTAATAAATAGTAAAACACTGTACGCAAGATTAACAACAAAATTTTCAGGAAAAGATCACTTAATATTAATATTAATGTTAATGTTAATATAATTTCAGTTACTGCGATGTCTGTAATAGTAGTAATAGTAATGATCCCATACTGTATTTTTTGGTCTTTACGTGTACGTTTTTCAGCTCAGCCTGGGTACAATTATTTTCGTTAGATCCAACTATTTCACAATCAATTTCAGTATTATTGCTACTGTGTTATCTTCTGATGGGTCATAGTAATCAGGTGAAGAGCAATTATTTAATTCTTGTTCAGTCATTCAAATGACAAGTTGTAGAAAAATTTGTTGTAAATATTAAGTTTTTTTATGAAGTTCTTCAAATATGGAATTTGACGTAACCGACTCTTTTACTCCTACTACTACTACTACTGAACTACCACAAAAACCACAAAATCATGTAACAAGAATTAAATCTAAGCTATTATTTATTAATTTTTAATTAAAACCTATCGCTACCAATATGATTTTACAATTAATATATATTGTAAACATTTCTTCCAGAATTTTTATTACGGAATTATGGGACCAATTATTTATCACTATTACTATAACAAATAAATATTCAATTTTTGAGAAAGAAATCCACCGCTTGATTTTTTTAAAAATTGTCTTAAGTATTTATTCAAATGTTGTTGTTAAAACTTATTATTATTGTAAAATAATCAATTGTCTTTTACTGGCGAACTATCATCATCAATTAATTACCAGGAAAGATGGACAAAACACGTAAAAAGTTGATGTTGGAGTATGGAGGATAATAAATCAATTAATAAAGAGAAATTATTATTATATAATGTATATGATTAATAATTTAGAAAGGCTACAACAGTACCAAGCTCATGAAAAGCAAGCTCTTGGACTAGAAAGGGTTAAAGATCCACTATAAACGTAAAATTTTACAATTGTTCTAAACTTCCTTTCTCACAAGAAAGATTGAATCGAACTTACCAGTTATGTAGTGATGAAATTAAAGATGGGGGCATATGGGGGGTTTGAAAGACCTATTGAAGACTCAACTATGTGCATAATTCAGTCAAGATCTTGCATAGAAGGAATAAGGTTAGCTTCATTGAATCTGGCCGACATCTAAGCTCAATCTATTGGATTTAATGACTTTCCGGGTGATTTTTTTTAAGAACTCTATGGTTTCACTTGTAATTTTATTTTTCCTTGATTTTCCTTTCAGGATTGGTTAATCTATCTACATAGTTTTAGTATATAATACTTTGGTGATGTAACTTGTTTATTTATTTAATCAGACCTTTACTAATTTAAGAGCACATACAAATTATAAAAAATCATATATTGAATAACAACAACATCAACTATTCAGATCGTTTAAGATAGAAAAACAAAGAAGGAAATCGAAGTAATCAAGACTGCTGGATGAATATACAGAGAAAGAATACCAAACCTTGATGTGTATGCTACACTATCTAGGAAAAGTAACTGAACACACCTTTTTGGTTAATACACATGACAAAAAATATTTTTACATGAGTTTGTAGCATAGGTTCTACAATGTATTAAAATCTTGATTTCTTCTCAATTATTAGAATCCTTTCATAAATTCGAACTAGTTTGTTCTTCATAGGGCCATTTAACAATTTAGATTGATCAACACAATTGGATGTTGAATGAAAAAAGCAAACATTTATTTCATAATTAATTGAACGATCACAATACAAGTTATATATTAATATGTGTCCCAAATATCCCAAATATGCAAAACCTGCACCCGCAGAGGAAGCATCAGTCGTAACCAGTTCATCATACATCAATAAAATTATACATTCTTTCACCCAAAGGTAAAAATAAAGCACAGCGGGTACAAAATCGTAACCATTTCTCCTTAATATCAAATCGAAAATTTTTAAACGAGATCCTTTATCAACCGGATGGGCTGGGTGGGTAATTGAAGCTGATTTCAAGTTGAGATGAAGCAATTCTTTGGTAATTTGCGATTGTGTATATATATATATAACCTTTCACAATTCCCACAATTACCAAAAATGTAACCTGCGACATCTGAAGATACGCCAATTCTGATTCCCTTGTAACAAGATTAATATTCACTCGTCAATTCCAAACAATATTCAAACAATATTCAAAAAACTCTCTATAGAACAACAGCCATAACATCATCAATCATCGTCATTGTGAGATAGACGATGATAAAGAGGTTAGCATACTGATAGGAATATTTGATATTCAAAATTCGAAGATCAAATTAAAATCATCAAAATATCGAGAAAACGTTTCCCGACTGCCAGAGATATAATTTGAAGTGGACATTGAGGTATGAAGGCAATAGTAATTCTTGGGAGTGCTATTTATTATTGTTATATTATTTTTATTATTAACCAACTTGTTAATTAGTTATTTAATATTCAAAGCCTCGCTCATAAGAATAGGGACAAAAATTAATATCAAATTGTTTCTTCACAAATAATCCGTTCTAATAATTCTTTTTCACTTAATAAAATATTTAGAGAGGCTAACGAGAAGTCTAGTCGAGGTCCAGAAAGATGGACTTTATTAAAATACTAGCGGGACTAGTGATATACAAAAAACTGCCAATTTAACAAGAGCCCACAAGACCAGAGTCATCAAAATATGTTTGAGATTATTAAATATTGTGGTTCAATAAAAAATATCAACAATATCTTACTTTAGAATTAATTAATTCATAATGTATATATAGGGTATATAGGTATATGAAAAATGATGATTATAATGGTTCTAATGAATATGAAAAAAAAGTTGTGGTTGTGTGTGATTAAGAACGATTGATGAAATACTTTTACAAGACGGGAAATTATTTTGTCATGTAATTTTATATGGTATAAATTAAAAATTTGATTGGAATATAACGTTACACCCCACATTCCCACACTGAATTTTTTTAACACTGTCAATAGAAAAACTGTAAATTTATATTATTATATAATAAAATCATTTTGAAAAGTTGAGCACATTTTAAAAAATGTAAATAAAGTCATTTTAGAATCAAGATTTATAAATGATGACAATAATGATGGTGGTAGTAATAATGAAAGTGATTAGATAATCAATTATATTGAAAACATTGTTTTTTTATGATGTAATTGTTTTTCATATAAACAATTTTTCCTAAAAAAAAAGTCGCACTGCATGATCATGCGCACGAAATTTATTTTTTCCCATCCCTATGATTTCGTCATATTTGATGAAAAACCACAGCTAATATTAATTTGTTTATATCAGTATGATGATACCCACCAGAAAAATACTGAATTTATTTATATTATGCAAATCATAACTTTTTTTAATTATCCCATCAATATCAATCAATCTAATTTTTATTCAACAGATAACAAACAAACAGTAATAATTGAATTAACAGTAAAATTGCATAAAAAAATTTTAGTAAATTTTTAATCTAAAAAAATGTATTCATGAATTCATTACTTTTGGGATTGAAATTCACGAGTGTTGCTTATTTTCGGAAATATACGGTACATAGTTTTACTCTCTTTTAAAAACACGCAGATTTTTCTTCAATTGTTATATAAAGATAAAAATAATTGTCATCGTACAACGAAGGATACAAAGCAAGATGAACATGAACAATAATGATAATTGAGGAAAAAAAAATAACCTCTTATATTTATGAAAACGATTATATACTTCATAGTATCAAGTTAGTTGCTAACGCCACCACATCACAAGATTTTAAATATATGTGCTTTGTTCTCACGATTTTTGCTTTTTTCTAACCTAATATATATACCTAATATATTAATACCCAATTACCAGATCAAACGATAATTGATCAATATGACCCTTGTATTTGTGATAAATTAACAAAAAATTACGACAACATCAAAATATCTACATCAATTGCATAAAGTTACGTCACTCACTACATTTTTTATTCTCGTGGTTTTGCATATGTTAAATTTGTCCAAAAAATTTTTTTCTCAAAAAAAAAAAAACAAAAAAACTTCCCATCAAGACTTTTCTTATAAAAACCCTATGGAAACCTTTCTTTCTCAAAAAATTTCTCGTAATAAAAACAAACAAAAATATCATTATTATTATATACAAATAATTATGTCAGCTATCGAACAAATAATCTTTCTACACCAGGGTTGGCAAATTGCCTGGCCCATTGCCATTAATGGATCCAATGGACTACACATTTGCCAACCCTGTTCTATACGAGATTGCCTTTCTGTTAAAGTTGGCAGTATTTATATTTAAAACAATTATTTTGTTTCAATATCTAATGGCAATATCGCCAATGTTTTTATTACATATTTCTGCTTACATTCTGATGCTTCCAAACGTGGAAAAGAAAAAAATTGTTGGCGTAAATGTAGATAAGATATTAAAATGTTCCACACAATCAACACTGACAAAATTACCGTTCTTGAGCCTGCTGTTGCTGTTTATTTTATAATTGAAACAACAAATAATGATGTAGGCTCACATTAGTATTGGTCTCCAAAACTATTTTGAAGAGACGAAAATCAAAACTAAAATTAAAAGTTATATATGTCAAAACTAAATCAAAAGTCAATAGTCAAAAATCAAAACTAGTTTTGACTTGTGGCGTAACCTTTTGACTTTTGCACGGTTGCGAAACTCTCTAGTTTTGGAAACCAACACTAGCTCACACGTCGAATAAGTTGTTAGTAACAATCCAAAAAAAGAAGTTGTCAGCATTATTGTGTTCGGCAATGATATTTCAAGCATGCCGATATATTTAAACATCACAGATGACGCTACAGGACAAACAAACCTTCCAATCAATTTCAACAACTTCAACTTTGAATCGGAATTAGTACCAGACACTGATGATATTAATAAATCTATTATTGAAAACAACGTTGACTCTATCAAAAACGAAACTGACGATCATCGTAAAGCTGCTAATTTTGAATATGAACTAGGTTCAAGCGATGGCGATTTATACAACAATGATGGTGTTACGAACGCAATAACATCACAAGAGACCCGTGGCAACATTTATATGGCCAATATTGGCCCCAATAATAATGAACATTGCAATGTTGATAAAATTGAAACAATAATCAAAAAATTTCATCATCAGATACTATTTTGTCAATCAGTTAATGATGATAATAATGGTACTAATAACAATCGATCTGCATATTTCGAACTTTACAAAGTTGAAAATATTAAAATTGAAACAATAATCAGATACTATTTGATCAATCAATTGATGACGATAGTGATGGCACCAACATATTCCAAATCCTAAATCCGAAAATAATAATAAACTTCAAGTGAATAATCAACAGACTTCCCATGACCAAGCTAACGATGATGACGAAAGTTGGTTAAGAAGGGCAGTTGAATTTGAGGTTAGAGCAGGTTGCAATTTAGATAACGACGAAGAAAACTGGTTGAAAAGGAAAGTTGAATTTGAGGCTGAGTTAAAGAGATTGAATTATAATTTAGATAATGATTTAGATAATGATGGTACCATTATTCCTATCGAATCTCCTACAAGTCTAGATAGTGCATAAATAAGATAAATTTGCTTTAAATTTTTTTTTTCAAAAAATCAAATTAAAAAAAAAACTTATTAGGAGAAATTAAAATTTTATTATTATTGAATTTAGCATATTTAGCATATAGCATTTAATATACGAATAATGAATGATAATTATTATAATATATTAATATAAAAAAAATATTCTTATATCCTTATTCTTACTATATAATAAAAAAAAATTTATTATTATTTGCAATAATTAGTAGTATCCTCATACAAATGCCGTTTCTTGTGAGTCTTTATATTATGAGTACAATATTTTGATATAGATGTTTAGAAGATCCACATTCGAAACAGCACCTTTTATTATATTTCAACCTTACGTCTACGATAACAAATTAACCTTGGGACAACACTTTTCTAAAGCGAATATCGTTGTTAACACTCACTAGTTATCCAAAATTAAACGCTACATTGTTGCCTTTTACCAAAGTACATGTACTCGCTTTACACGAAAAATAAATAAAAAAAACAAAAACACGTTTTTGTTTTACTATATATTAATATTGCAAAAATATAAACCACGTGATAAATTTTAAAATTAATTTTTAAAAACGATCTTATTCTAATTATATACACATCTAAACTCGATAAGTCGGACATTTATTTATATTATAAAGTACTTTAAACAATTGATTGCTGCGTCCGACTTTATCAATGATCAATCGTTTTGTTTTAATAGGTTATACAAACGTAAAATATATATCTTCTATATACATCTTCAAGATGTTCTTTAAAAAAAAATGCATAGATATGTTCGTTGACGTTTGATTCATAACGAAAAATAAAAAACAATACTACTACTACTAAAGTATAGTACTATTTTTTTATACAAAGTCATCAATTAGTAAAATTGTGACGTTTTCCACCGCTGATCCCTATTTAGAGTTCATTCATAGTAATAGATGGATCGTCAATTAAGGATTATTTTATTTTGATGATCTTACGGAGTTTTTGTTTTTCCCTGCTTTTTTTCAAGCGAGGATCCGAAGTTGCTAGAAACTTTTAATGCAAGTAATAACAACAACAACAACAACAACAATAATAAATAATACTTGGCCTTTTCTGCAGAATAGTATTTCAAGTCTTATATTTCATTATTGTATCAAGTAAACAGGATCAATATTTTCATCAATCATAACTTATAATATTAATAATATTATTATTATTGTTATTATTATATAAAAAACTTAAATTTTGTCAGAGGACCTCGGAACCGGTTTTGCTAGAGAACCCACCTACTTTTTGAAATGATTTTAATAATATGAATGATTCTGAAAGGAACGATCTACAAAACCTGTATAGAATTTCAACCAACTTCATGATAGATAATAAATAGGATATAAAAAATGCAATTATAAAAAATTGGATGAAATGATCGCATATTTCATGACACAACGAATCAAGTATGAAAAGTTGTATTTTAATTTTGACCTACCACATAATTTTTTCTTTTGAATGTGCGGATAAAAAATTATATGATTTTTTTCTTTGTGTAAAGATTAGTTTTTCCGCAGCTAGTTCACCGACTCACAATCAAGAATTCAAGAGACTTTAAAATACAAAAATATCGAGATTTTAATGTTGATAACAATTCTTTAAACTTTGGACGAAACTAGGAGTCACAAATCACGTGAATTTCATTAAAAATTTTCATATTGTGGCAAATTACTAATCTTGCCACAATGGTTTTTTTATGTTTCTATATTAATATGTGAGGCAAAAATTTTAAAACCCGTTATGACAAGAATTTAATTATAATCCACTGTTGTGACAATACGAATTTTGTATTTGATCGAAACAAACATTTTATCTTAATATTAATGGCTGATACCAAATTACTATACAAAGTTATGCAATTAAAAAAATTTCGTTACGCAGTATGTGTTTTTTGGTGTACACAACAATTTGTATTATTGGCGGTCAGACCCGAGCAAACAATGATATATAAATACTAAATTAGAAATTACAGAAAACCGGTTTAAAGTACAATTTCAATAAGATTATAAATACCATATGTCATTGTTGTTGGTACATGGCACAAATATTTGAATTCATTTGACAAAATCAATGACTTCTTTTGGAACTTTAAAACAATCACAGATATATTTTCACTTTCCAGATAGCAATAATCCGAATACATCCATATTGTGTATGATTTGGTTTGATGTGCTTGATTGTCCTTTTCAGCGCATGATTCATTAACATATGAATACACGAACAAACCTTGGCAAAATCAAAATATAATATTACACATAATGACATGTATGAATTTTCTATTAAAATGTCCGCCTTGGCCCTGGTTGCATTGTGTATAGACATGCTTTTTTTAAATCATTCCATATGAGTTTCACGGTAAATTCCAATTAATCAGCCTTTGATGCTTTCATGACTATTAATTCAAGGCTTAATGTACGATGAATCTATTCGAGCTCGTTTCTAATTGCGTCTATCAGAAGATGAAATACCGAACAGATACTAAACATAAATGAAATTTGCTTAAGTCAACATCGATGATTAGTTTAACTCGCCTAATATAATTTGTAAATTAGAAATATTATATATTAAAATAATCTACGCTCTATCAACTATATTTGTAACCAAACAAACCAAACAATACATTGGTGACATTTTCCTAAAGTGGCATACTGTAAAAAAAATTCCCATTAAAAATGTTATCAAATATCTAAAGAAACACAAGTATTAAATAACATCCATTATCATAAATATTATATTCAACGTCATTAGGTTACTATTTTGACATTCTTAGGTTACTATTTTGACATTCATGTTAGGTTGTACAAAAATACTTTTGCTTACTTAATATTAAGTAATAGCAAACACAAACCGTAATGTAAGACATGATAAATCCATCATCAAAATTAGGTATCAATTTACTGGTCTCGTCCCACTCATCAACCGTAAATAAACCTTTATGATTCGGGTCGTTCAAATTGAGATCGATGAACTGAAACATATTCAAGTAAAATGATGCAAATCAAAATGTGTAAATGCCTATTAATAATTTTTTCTTATCTCATAAGTGATTCTTTATCTAAATATTCCTAGTTTGGTATCATTTATTTTAAAACATGGGTGCATTTTTTTCAATTGTTGTTCTTGGGTCCCGTGGCGGATTTTATATACTAATACATTAGTTTCATATTCATATTTTTATATAAATATAAATAATCCTATGCATCATTGTAAATTTTGTTAATTGAGCATTAAAATTCGTGTAATGTTATATCCGTTATAATAAGATTTGTTATAACGAGTATATACTGACTACTGTTGATTTATTATTATTATTATTATTATTATAATAGAGTTTCGCAATTGTGTGAAGCTAGTTTGACGTTTGATTTTTGATTTAGTTTCGGCATATAACTTTAAATTTTAGTTTTGACTTTCGTCTCTTCAAAATAAGTTTGGCGACAACACCTAATCATGACTAACCAAGAATAAACGACCAACGTCAATATTAATCAGTGGTGTATCAAGTGCAGGAAAAATACACTTGCACAAAAGATGATGTAACACTTTCAACAAAAGAAGAGATTGCAGCTTCACTTGGTATTGATCAACTCACTAAATATCACGTTACGTCCCTATTGTGTTAATGATGGAATAGTTGGTTAGACCGAAAGAGATGAATTTATATAATTAGATTATTAAAAAATTTTTGTTAGAGACAGTAAGTAAACACAAAATTATTATACTAGAGGGTGTTAAGTATAAATATCAGAATTTCGTTGATCTCAGAATATGAATCGAGACAGATGATGATTGAAGATTAATTAGAAAACTCAAAAAGTGGCCGACAACACATCAGCTCTGGCGAAAGAAAGAATCTGGAAATCTGATCTAAAGGTTATACAAGAAACTGATTCTAAATAAAGAATACGCGAATTTAATTCTTACTAATAATACTATGAATGAATTTGGTAAATGCATTGAAACAACCATCTGTATTGACTTCTATTTAACTAATGAGGAGAATTTAAAAAGAATTAAATACTAAAGAAATATCTTCTCGAATAAGTGAAAACAAGCCTGAACAAAAAAAAAAGCCCTGATTTGAATTTATACCTTTGGATTGATTGCTAAAAAGGAAACGGAGTTGATTCCGGACGTTGTAAAGCATTTATGTTTGTAATACAATTGTGATTGTAAACATCTAATTACCAAATTTGACCAGGAATGAAGGAAGCGTTTGATTTCATTTATATTTATGGAAATGAACTACAAAGAAAACAAATACGATGTTAACTTTTATGTTGTATCAGGGAAAGGAAGCCGATTTTGCCAGATTCTTTATAATAAGTCTTGTAAAAAATCTTTTAGAATAAAACAATTATTTACTGGTACTGATAGTAATCTCTGATGTTTCACAGCAAAATATCCAAGGCTACCATTTGAAAGATTAACTAGTCAACCAACCTTCAATCAAACGAGGAAATGACTTTTACAAATATATTTTCTGAAATTTGTGATGGATTTCTAACATTATTGATTGCAAGATAACATCCATAATATCTTCTTATACTCATACTTGCTCAATTCACTGATTCTACTTGGTGATAAAATGAAAAGTGATATTAGTAAGTTAAAGGTGATTATTGTGGGAGTTGTATGAGTATTCCTTGCAATTGGTTATTCTATTAACTGCTAAATATTGAACTGTTGCGTCACCATTGATTTCATTGATTTGTATTGCGTGATGCATGCATATTTATCAAATTCATCAAAAAACTACTTATCAATTTCATCAAAATTGGTTATCAATTTCATCAAAATTATTTATTTTACCTTATTATATATTATTTATGCAAATTTACCCCATTCATTTAAACGGAGGAAAATTTCCTAATTTTGATCTTTTTCTTGATTTGGTTAATAATAATTTATTTATTTTCTATTTTATAACGTTATCTATACTTACACAAAAAAATCTTATGATATGTGGTGTAACCGATGTAACTTCTACTAATTGTTACACACTATATTAAGTATTTTTTATTTATATACAAAAATTGTTGCCAACGTGAATATAACAAAATGGTGACCCAAGTGAACGCCACAATCGAATAAGTAGTTCTTGATCATCATCATGATAAAAAATCGGCATTCAATCCATTTAATAAAAATTAATAATGAAAACTTGTTTTGAAGACGAATCAGAATATTTCAGAAAACATGACCTTTGGACTTTTTACATTTGTTCAATTTATTTACGATTGTCCAAACACCACGAACAAATTATGGATTAAAAATGCAAAGTTAGCAAATTTAGAGTCAAATTACATTTTTTCCTTACCTTCAACAACATCAACAATGCCAGATTGTTGATGTATCAAGTATGAAAAGTAATAAATAAATTTGTTTTGTTATGATACAGTATAATAATATTCTAATTCCTTCTTTTTATCATGGATCGAAAGAAACTCCAAGGATGCAATACTTAATTGTGTGGTTTCTCAAAAAACAAAGGCAGTATTAGACTTCATAATTATTACAACAATGAAATGGCAAGGCTTAAAAGAAACAAAAATAAAAATTGTGCTTTTTTTCAAAACGCTCGTTTTAAAAATAATCAGTCAATAGTGAAGAATCGTACAATGAAACCGAGTCTGAGGGTATAAATGAATCATTAAATAATTAACTTTGTAATTAGTGCTCGCTTATAACGCTGCTACTTGTTCCACTCCTGACACTACTTCTACTCCACTAGTAATACTACTCGTAACATTGTTGCTTCTGCTAAATCTACAAAGAAAAGTACAAGAGGAAGAAAAAAGTTGTCAAAGTAGATGACGTTGTTACAAAATTGAATAATTGCTCAAAAAATTCTTAACTTTTTAGGATACCAATACGGAAGGATATGAAATGACTGCAGTAGGATTTATTAATCCAAGGTTAAATCTTCAAATTCTCAAGGATATATATGAATTTTCAATAACCCACCATTGTCTGCTATAATTGATTTGGATATATTTGGTAAACTTTTTTATCAAAAGCTTTGACCAAGAGGAACTTGCTTACATTGATGATCCAGAGGGCGAAATGAGTTTTTACTTTCGGAGAAAATTGTTCAGTTCACCAAGAATCAACAAAAGAGAGATAACATTACCTATTAAATCTATACAACTTCTGATAATTCAACTATTTGATTTTTATTGAAATAATTTATAATGAAACAAAACGATGCACACCGATCAAGAAAAATAAACATTAATGCAATTCACGAGGTCTATAAGGAGTTGTATGTTTAGAATTTTACTTATATACATATATCTGTTATGAAATGATTTTATTTTCCCAGTACCAAAACAATATTAATGTGGTATCCCGTCATTCCAGAATCAACTTTTTCTCATTGTTGACATAATAACATTTAACTGACTGTATTAAGAGTATAAATGGAGAAACCAGTTTACGATGGTAAATGTTTTCATTTCCTTTTTGATTTATTTTTAAATGCTTTTTATTATTATTATTTGGCTGAAGAAGGAAATTTATACAGTAATATAGTCCATAACTATGATAAATTGGTTAAATTCATTGAATGACACCCAACAGGAAGATTCTGATTTTTAGTGGTATTATGAATTCTTACACTGTGAAGATAGAGTGATCGACAGAAATTAATTCGTTACATGAAACAAAATAAATTTGGTGCAGTAGTAAATGAGTCTGTTGTTAACATAATTGACGATCTATATGTTTTCTCTTTACTAGTATATGGTATTTTTGAGTTTACTGTTCCTTGTTTTATAAAACAAGCGGTATTGATGTACAAAAAAGGAAAACTTTTATCACGGGTCTATAGGATATTTGACATAAAGACACACGTGTCGAATCTTTAAATTTTTTAAAATCATGCTCCATTATAATTAATGTTGTTTTGCATATGCTATATGGTCCCGTACAAGAAATTTTAGTAAATAATAGAAGTGTACTCAATAAAATAATAACTCAGAAGCCACTTGTGGAAGATTCCCATATCCACCAAGAAACGTGGTTATAATAATAAATATCATGATTTATATAATATTTTACAATGTTTTTTAATGTTGAATTCCTTTCTATTGAAATGACCCCATATAAGGTCATTCCGAACAGTAGGTCCAAGACAGTATTAGGACCTAAAGCGTAGAAGAAGCCTGTCTTCCACTTTTCCCGGCACAATATTCGAATCATCTAGAAAATTTTAATTGATCAAACTCATTGGTTAGATTTTACGATGATCACTAACTTTTTTCGTGTTAATCAATCAATTAATCAAATAAAATCATATCACAAGGTAAAATTGTTATGGAGCCGTCTACACATTCTTTGAAACCCGCTTTATAATTTGATATAAATAAAATAATTATTATCATATAAAAAAACTTCGGATAATTTTTTTCTAGAAGATTTGGCCACATTATCCAATATTAGTGGCATTTGCAAAATTTATCACTTTGCACTACTGAAATTATTTGTGGCGTTATGTTTACTTGTTTCCATATTAACATTATGATGATGATAGATCTGATATCAAAAAAATTATTTAGTTTTGTGTAATGCTAGATAAGAAAATATGAGAGATCAATTTTTTTTATTTTACTTTTTCATTCATTGATTTAGCTGATTAATTTGTATTAATTGATAATTGATTGATATTATTAGATTTAATTAAAAATAAATTGATTGAAAATATCTTATCCATCTACATTATTTTTTACTATTAAATAAAAATGTGTAATAAACAATTGATAAATAATAAATAATAAACAATAAAAAAAAAATAATAAAATAAACAATAATAATAGTAATAAAAAAAGGAAGTATAAAATTACTGAAAGTTTTGACTTCCCCAAAAAAATTTTCTGATTTTTTCTTCTCACTCATAATTGTTTTTTTGGTACTATATATAAAAAATAAAAATTCATTACATTTATATTTTTCATTAAAATATAATAATTTTCAATTTTTTTTTTTATAATTAACTAATTAATTAAACTGTTATTATTATAAACTTTGAAAATTTAATCATTTGAAAAAGTGCCGCTAAATTAAAAATTTAGCGTTTTTTTTGTTTTGTCCAATGTATAAGTGGACTTTTGAATTTATATCAAAGTATTCTCGTCCTACTACTACCAACCGTACTCTAGCTCTCTATCATATCGAAAGCCCAACCTTTGCTTGCTACTTCTAAAAAATCAAATTTGACTTGTTCTTTAATATTCAAACAACCTTACCACCACCATCACAACACACCTACAATAACACATCCGCTAAATAGTTTCTTCAACAATATAACAATTTTTTTTTAAAAAAAACACCCCATCTAAGCAACTATAAAAACCACATCAATACAAAAACAATTCTAATTCGAATAAGTAATATTTATTATTAAGCAACAAATTAATAACACACTTTCACAACTTTTACTTTTTTACAAATAAGTATGACAAACAATAAAAAAATTTCATCTCGTAAGCCGGAAGTTAACGGTGTTTCTGCTACTTCATGCGCTAACTGTGGTACAACTACAACACCATTGTGGAGAAGAGCTCCTAGCGGTGAAACCATATGCAACGCTTGTGGTAAATAAATCAATTTATATTCATTACTTTATAAAAATATTTTTAATCTTTATTTATTAATTATTAATCCAATTTTTAAATATCAATAGGTCTTTATTATAAAGCTCGTAATACTGTTCGTCCACTTTGGTTAAAGCGTAATTCCGTCAAAAAACCATCTACCACAACAAACGAATCAACCGATCCTAATAATATTGATTCTAACAACAACAACAACAACAGCAGCAACAACAACAATAACAACAACAACAATTATAACAATAACAATAACATTAATAATAACAATATCAATAATGTTAATATTAATAATGGTGGTGGCACTTGTCCTGGTGATGGTCATTGTGACGGAACGGGTGGGTCTAGCTCTTGTGATGGCTGCCCAGCTTACAATCAACACCAAGTTAATCGTCAAGCATTAATTTGCAATAACTGTGGTACAAACACCACACCTTTATGGAGGAGAGATGAACTGGGCAACACTATTTGTAATGCTTGCGGGCTTTATTTCAAGCTTCATAATGTTCATCGTCCACCAATTATGAAAAAAATAATCATCAAGCGTCGTAAACGTGTCCCTCTTCACAACAAATCTTTAGATTCTTATAATCATCATCATCATCATCATCATCATCAACAACAAAAAAGTAATTCTTCTAATATTGAAAGAAGACATCATCATCATCAAACTCATAAATCATCTTGTCTTAACAAAAATGATGGTAATAACAATCATCATCATCCTCATCATCAATTTACTTACAATAGCCCACCCACTCCTTCTTCAACTTCTTCCGCTTCCGGTTACAATTCTTCCGAAGATGATGATACTTCTCTTGATGGTTTTTCTAATAATTTTGATCGTAAAAGAAAAGTCGAAGATCCTAATAACTCTAGTAAACGTCCTTGTTACGATGATAGAGAGCATGCTATCGAAGATTTCATTGTTTCTAAACCTCAATATCAATTAGAGAGTGCATGGGATTTTGAAGATAATAGTAGAAGAAGCAGTTTAAACAGTGAGCCTCAAGTTCAAATTCATCAAATCAATAATAATAATAATAGTAATAGTCGTCTTATGGGAACACCTAATTATCCCTTACCCTCAATATATTCTAATCATCATCATTATAACAATAACAATAATAACGTCAATAACAATAATGAGTCCTCTATTCAACGTTTTGGTTCAAGTCCACCACCTCCTCAAAGTTCTATTTCTGCTTTGTTGAATTATCCTTCTGCTGAAACTTCTCCTAAATTGCCACCAATCTCTACAGTTGTGAGCGGTAGTAGCGGCAACAACAACAACATTGTATATTTAAACAATGCTCATCCTCATAGTAGTAGTAATAATAATAATAATAATAATAATAATAATAATAATAATAATAATAATAATAATAATAATAGTAATAATAATAACAATAATAATAATAGTAATAATAATAATAATAATAATAATAATAAATAATAATTAATATTAATATAATAATAATACAATAATTAATAATTAATCCGATCATATGTAGAAATCTATAAAATTATAAAATACAAAGAGATAATAAAATAAAAAACTTGTACGATTGACGAACACTGCATCCAAGTGATAATCCCAGATTCCAAATATTATAGGCATAAGGATATGTTGCTTTATTAAATACAAAAAAAATAATGTATATTGTTTTGATTAGTGTTCTTGAATCCCAAAATCCCATTTTTTCTAAAAATATTTACCATCTGAACATTTTTCCCTTAATTTCCGATTCACCCTTGTAGAAGAGATATTATTGGTAAATTGACTTGAATTTATGATATTTCAAGCACCAATTCAATTCACCATCAATATTTGTCTGAAGTGGGGAAAATAAAATAGAGATCGAGTTCACATTTTCATTGAATGAGGATGTTCATTTTAAATTATGTTAATTTGGGGCACATATTTCACCAACAATATTATCAACATCATCAGGATTAATACTGTCAATAACGTTGTTGTTATTTGTTCTCCTCTAAATTAAACAAAGCAAAAAAAAAACAAGATAAAAAAAATTATAATGATATTTTTGTAGTTAAATAGTATTTGCAAGTAATGATTTATACCTACAGGGGGGTAACATAGTCATCTAAAACTTGTATCTGAAACCTTTTCTTGTAAGTCATCAATTTGACCAGCATGTTTTTCTAAGGTTGTATCATTATTCATCATTCATCTTCATCTGGAAGATGACCACATAAAGCATATCAATTAGTCATTTGCTACCAGAAACAATTTGAAGAGCTCCTCATAAGCTTACCCGCTTTGTTGGTGTTGCTGATAGTGGTTCTTCATCATTACCGTACTTATTGGCTGACTGGTGTAGTCAAAAAATTGCTTTTGATGTACGGCATAAAGACGGCGAATATCTGTCTCCTCAAATTCAAGCATCCCTTGTTTCTAATAATTTGAAAGAATCAGTCAAAATAAAATAAATAATCATCGAAAATGAAAAATGCAAGCACAGCATACCATCTGCAATTTTCTTTTTTCTTCAATTGATTTTATCTTCCATTAATGCTTTTTCCAAATCAAAATTATATAATCTTAAATACGTTTTTCTATTTTTGAAGCACTTATCAATCTTTAAGTATGCGAGAGTAAAATTGCAAGGCCAAAGAAAATATGATAATAATATTAAAGACACCTAAGCTCGATCTACTAAACAGATGTATAGCTTTAATAAAACCGTCTAGGTTATTCTACTGAAAAACGTTAATATTAAGCATCTCATGGCAGCATTTGCAAGATCACTTGTTAAAATTGTTTATTACACACTAGAATAACGTTCAAATCATTTTTAGTGTAGTCGTGTTTTAATTTATATGCATTGCGAAGATCTTGATTTTTGATAAAACCCATCATCTTCCTAATGCTTTTTTAGTGACTATGCGACTGATTTCCAACATTATCTGCGAGTTTTTTGATACCAATAATATTTATTCCTAATTATTTTTTATCATTCAACGTTATTAAATTGTTTCTATTTTAAATTAATTAAAAATAATTCTTTACTAATCATCAATGGTTATATAGCCGCACCATATTTTCAACCTCCCTCTTCTTAAACCCTTGTTCATCTTTATTACAAGATATTGTTAACAATAATCATCAATTATTCTTATTCTGAAAGATTATCCAGTTAAAAGGTATGAGTATGAACTTTCTAAAGGAAGAAATAAATTTCAAAAATAAACCTAGATGAATTACAACTTCATCGTTACACGATATTATTTGACCAAAAAAAAAGTTGAATTCAGATGTAGCAAATCAACGAACAGGATTAAGTAAAAAATCGTCATCAAAAAAATTTTATGTGATCATAATCGAAACAAAAAAATTTATATAGAATAAACAATTAATTAATTATTTTAAATGTTAACAGATACCTGTTATACAGTAATTCACCAAGATGACAGTTCAGAGCAGCCTTCATTACAGGAACTTAAAACTGCTCTTGAAAAAGGCTCAGAGGAAGCCAAGATTGAAACAATGAAAAAGATCTTGGTCACAATGTTAAACGGCGATCCTCTACCTCAACTTTTAATGCATGTAATTCGTTTTGTATTGCCGTCAAAGAGTAAAGCCTTAAAAAAACTATTACATTTTTATTGGGAAATTTGTCCAAAAACTAATTCTGATGGAAAACTTAAACAAGAGATGATTTTAGTTTGGTATTTGAATTTCTTCAATTTATTTATTCTCGATTTTATCATCAACCTGATATCAATTATATACGTATATCTATATCTTTTTTTAAAAAAAGCAACGCGCTGAGAAAAGATTTACAACACCCAAACGAATATATAAGAGGTGCAACGCTTCGTTTCTTATGTAAACTTCGTGAGCCAGAATTACTTGAGCCTTTAGTTCCATCATGTAGATCTTGTTTGGTATGATTATAATTAATTTCATAAATAAATCATTTTATTATTTGTAAAACCTGATTTGTATCTATTTATATAGGAACATCGACATTCTTATGTCAGAAAAAATGCAGTATTTGCTATTTATACAATATATAAGCATTTTGAATACCTTATCCCTGATGCTCCAGAATTAATTCAAAGTTTTTTGGTTGTGGTAAGAATAAAAAAAATCAAAAAATTTATAATCTAAATAATTAATTGCATATATATACTTTATATTTTATTTAATTGTTTCGCTCAATAATAACCATCATCATTCAAAGGAAGGCGATCAAACTTGTAAACGAAATGCTTTTGTGATGCTTTGTAACACCAATCAAGCACGAGCTGTTGAATATCTTAATGATGTTTTTGATCAAGTTCCTAACTTTGATGAACTATTGCAATTGTCTGTTATCGAATTAATTAGAAAGGATTGTCGAAACAGTAGTACTAATAGGGTGATGATATATTTGTTTTTAAATTCTCTATCATCATCATAGATTTTCTTAATGTTTATGAAGTCTTTAATATCATTATATTTTAACAGGGAAAATATATAAGATGTATCTTTGATTTATTAAATGCTCCATCCCATTCTGTAAAATATGAAGCTGCTACTTCTTTGATGGCTCTTACTCATGCGCCAGCTGCTGTAAAAGGTACAATTTAATATAAATACAGTTTATACCTAAATACATGTAATTAATTATTTTAATGTATATATAATTTTTTCATTTATTTATTCAAGCTGCTGCATCTTGTTATATTGAGCTGATTATTAAGGAGTCCGATAATAACATCAAACTGATTGTGTTAGATCGTTTGGATGAATTACGTGAAAAGCATGAACAAACTTTAGATGATTTGGTATTAGATATCCTAAGAGTATTGACAAGGTATTGTCACAAATTAGTTGCTAATTTACTCTTGTCAATTGCTTATTCATGTAATTTTTGATAACAGTCCAGATATTGAAGTAAGGAGAAAAGCTTTACGTATCGGATTAGATCTAATATCTAGTCGAAACGTTCAAGAAGTTGTTGTTTTTTTGAAAAAAGAATTGAGCAAGACTCTTGATCAAGATTATGAGAAGGTTGAAAAAATTATTAGAACATTAAATTAATTATCTATTCTTAAATTTTTTAATAATTTAGTAATCTTACATTTTAATTATAATTATTTAGAACAATGAATACAGACAACTATTAATTCAATCGATACATGGATGTGCAATTAAATTTTCAGAAGTTGCTGAAAATGTTGTTCATGTACTTATGGAATTTTTGGGCGATTCAAATAACCCTGCAGCAGTTGATGTTATTTCATTCGTAAGGTATGTATTAATATACATATATATATTACATTATATGAGGGAAATGATGATAATTTTTTTTTAAATTATACAAATATATAGAGAAGTTGTAGAGAAGTTTCCTAATTTGCGATCATCCATAACCGAAAAATTACTTGAAACATTCATGGATATAAAATCTCCAAAGGTTTTTAGAGGAGCATTATGGATTGTAGGAGAATATTGTATTGAACACAAAGGTACAAAATTGCTATTATTTTAGATAAAATTTTTTTTGCATATCTTAATTTACTTTTTTTCCAAAGATATTGAAGAGGCTTGGAAACAAATCAGAGGAGGACTTGGAGAAATTCCAATTTTAGCTTCTGAACAGGTAAAAGGATTTTTTAATAATTGATAGATTAGAAAAATTATATAAATATTTATATAATAATTTAAAAAAGTTTGATAATAGCGTTTACTTGAAGAAGTGGAAAAAGATGAAAAGGGTGACGATGCTAATATTTCAGAAAGCAAAACATCCAATAATTCATCACGCCGCGTTCTTGCTGACGGGACTTATGCTACTGAAACTATATTTTCATCAAACTCGTCAAATTTAGCAAGACTTGAGGCACTAAAATCAGCAACAAAACCTCCAATTAGAGGTAAATAACATTTATAAATAAATATTATTAAATATTATTAAAAAAATATTTATATAATTGCTATTACGATTATGATTATTAGCATTATTACTTGGAGGTGATTTCTTCCTTGGATCTGTATTAGCTTCAACATTAACAAAATTAGTTATGCGATATTCTGAAAATTCAAATGACCAAAAAAAAATAAATTCCTTGAGAGCCGAGGTAAATATTAATAACTATTGTATCATTTAAGAAATCATATTTATTTATTTGTGGATGATTTTCTTTAGGCGATGCTTATAATGGCTAGTGTTATTCGTGTTGGACAATCTCAATTTGTAACAAATCCAATTGATGAAGACTCTTATGATCGAATACTGTCTTGTTTACATGTTTTGGAACAATTTTCAAATGATTTAGCCATTAAAAATATATTTTTACAAGATACAAAAGCATCATTTACGAGAATTGTGGAGGCAGAAGAAGTAAATTGAAATAAAAGATTAGTTAGTTTAAATATAATGATAATTTCGAAATTCTGACCTTTTCATTTTTTTTTATTGATTAGAAACGATCAGCTGCTAAAAAAGCAAAAGATAAAGTTACTACTAAAATCCAGGTAGATGAGCTTATCACATTTAGGCAATTTTCCAAACGTAATCTTGGTGAAGAAACTGATGAAGTGAGTTTTCAATAAAAAAATTTTTTTTTGAAATCAATCAATCAATCAACCAAATATATATATTAATCGGGTCTTAATTTATTATTTAAAATTATAAAAAAAAACAACAGTACGAATTGGATTTAACTAGAGCTACAGGTCAAAGTGATTCTCGTGATGACCTAATTTCTAAGCTTAGTCGTGTTGTACAACTTACAGGTATACAGGCAATTCTTTTTTTTTAAAAAAAACACCATTTAGTTTATTATATTAATAATAGATGGTATTTTTGGGTGGATTTTTTTAAAGGATTTTCGGATCCAGTATATGCAGAAGCTTATGTTAACGTTCATCAGTATGATATTTTACTCGGTAATTATTACAACATCTATATAAGATTTAAGTCATTTTAAGTAGAATATTATAATAATAGCAGTCAATTGATTTTTGAAATATAGATGTGTTGATTGTGAATCAAACTAGTGAAACGCTCCAAAATTTATCAATAGAATTTGCTACTTTGGGTGATTTGAAATTAGTTGAAAGACCAGTACAACATAACCTTGCCTCTAATAGTTTCCTTAGTGTTAAAGCCACAATTAAAGTATGTGTATTATTGTTATTCTTTAAGAAAAACAATTACTTTTTTTAAAAAAAAAATTAATTTATTAAATTTGATTTGATTTTTGATTTATCTAGGTTTCATCTACAGAAACTGGTGTGATATTTGGTAATATTGTATACGACGGACCTGGTACCTTAGAAAGTAATTGTGTTGTTTTTAATGATATTCATATTGATATAATGGACTATATAAACCCGGCTTATTGTAATGAAACCCAGGTATATAAATAATATATTTCTTTTTACCATGATAGTTTTGCAGTCAAATACTAAAAAAAAAATATTTATATTAAAAGTTCCGTACTATGTGGACAGAATTTGAATGGGAGAATAAAGTTAATGTTAATACAAACATCACGTAAGTTATAATATATATTTAAATATAGATTTTTCTCCACGATTTGAAAATATTCCGAATTAATTTATTGTTATTATTATTACATTGAATTTGAACAATAGTGATTTAAGAGAATATCTTGGACATATTATAAAGTCAACAAACATGAGTTGCTTAACACCAGAAGCTGCATTATCTGGTAAATGTGACTTTTTGTCAGCAAATATGTATGCTCGAAGTATTTTCGGTAAGATATTATAATAATATTATTAATTTTTTAAAAAAATAATATTAATAATAACGACCAATAAATAATGGTTATATAGGTGAAGATGCATTAGCAAATATTAGTATTGAGAAACAATCTGATAGTGGTATTACTGGCCATGTTCGAATTCGTAGTAAAACACAAGGCATAGCTTTAAGTCTAGGTGATAAAATTACATTAGGTAAAAAATTTTTTTGTAAAAAAAGATTTTTTAAAATATATAAAATTTTTCCACTAATATCAATTAATCATTGTTTTTATATTCTGATTTTATATAGCTCAAAAGGCAGCGGCATAATTTTAGCTTCAAAATTTTAATTATTTTTTAATTGGATAATATAGAGTTTTATTATATTTTTATTTATTGTTTATTTTGTTTTTTTTTTGTTTATTAATATTAAAAATATAAGTCTTTTGTGAAATGAATGATTGCCTTTATGCATCAAAAAATTATGAATAGACAACTTTTTTTCATTGTTTATTTATTATTATGCCAATGATGATATTGATTTTAAATTTTCAGGTGGAATATGATAATGTTTTTTTGTTAAAGAACAATTATTATTATCAGATGATGGTGATGTTAATTCAACACAAGATTCAATTGATTGAAACCATTCTTTGTCGTTTTTTATATCTTCAGTGGTTACACGTTTCTTAACATCCGGTTCAAGAATACGGTACATTAAATTTCGACAACCACTTGACAACCTTTCAAATGGCTCATACAATCCAGTACTTCTTGCTTCCAAATAACTTAAATAATTCAGATCTGTTGATGTTGCCATTCTAAATGGAATACCTTGATACATCATGCAATAATATACAATTCCACATGCCCATATATCTACTAAACGAGCATCATATTCTTTGGTTTCAAATTGTTCCTGTGATAATTATTTTAAAGATATAAATATATAAATATATAAATATTATTATTTATAAATATATAAAGGCTACTTACAGGAGCAATATATGGTTCAGATCCACACAAGCCTTTAGATTTATGGATTTCTTCCTCCCAGCATGTTCTAAAAACATCGGATACACCAAAATCTGTAATTTTTAAATTTCCTTTTACATCCAACAATAAATTTTCAGGTTTTATGTCTCTACATAAAAAACCATAGTAAAATATTTCAGTCAATTGATCAATTAACAATAGATTTTAATAAAGAATACCTATGAGCAACTCCCATTGAATGAAGATAACTAACTCCCATTATAAGTTGTTTAAAGCAGCAATCTATTTCTAAAGAAGTCATATGATTTGCTTTTATTGCAGAGTATAAATCACCACCAGCACAATATTCCTAAATAATTATTTTTTATGATGAAAAAAATATGTTAATATTAATAAAAAATAAAATAATTAAAATAATTAAATATAATTACCATAACTTCACACCAATTATGATGCTCATCTTGAAGTAAGTCTATAGTTCTAACAATATTTACGTGATCTAGAGTAGAACTTATACAAAATTCACTTGCAACTTTCTTTACATAATCTTTTTCTGTTTCATTTTTTCTTTTCTTTCTAAATTCCTAATTTATTATATAAAATAATTATTGTTATTGTTATTGTTATTGTTAATATTTTATGTAATTTCCAAAAAAAAGGAGTTTTTAAGTACCTTGACAGCATAAATTCTTTCACAAGTTGAATTATCAAATTTATGAGCAAGACGAACAACAGCTGTTGCACCTTTACCAATACAATGTTTCTCACAAACACCATATTTTCTAAGTAATAATGATTCGGTGTCATTATTAGTACTTTTACCAGTTTCACTAATACTAACGCTTTTGCTCGTTTGTTTATTATTGCTATTATTGTTATCATTGTTATTATTACTATGATGATGGTTTTTATCATGTCCAAGTTTAGGATGAAGAATTTCCATTAACATCGAAACATTTTGATAATGAGAATTTTTAAAATCTTTCTCTTTACTATTACTCTCATCATCTTTTTCTTTTGCCTTTTCATGATTATGGTCATCATTTTGTGCATGCGAACTTTTTGAATTTTGTGAGTCATGGCTATCACTATGATTATTATGAATAAATAGTTTTTGAACACTTTGAACAAGATGCATCATTTTATGTTCCGAATGTCCATTTTGGTGATTATTATTATTGTTGTTGTTGTTATCATGATTTTTATTGTTTTCATTTATTGCAAAAGAGTTTATATTATTTTCAACAATATATTTTGAGTTGACGCAAGAATCTGTTTCAGGTGTATGAGGAGCTGAAAAGGTTTGTATTGGACTTGGATGAGTACTAGAAGAATTTCCGATAGAAACGTTATGATTATTATGCTTTAATGTATTTATGATAGAAACGTCGTTGTCACTATTATTATATATGTTAATGAAAACAGGAGTAGAAACCGCAGCAGAAACAATAGGTAAACTACTGTTACTATCACCATTACCATTACTGGTAATAATATTGTTGCTTTTTTGATTATTATTGTTATTAGGTAATGATGACGATGATGATTTTGTCTTTATTTCTTTATTTTCTTTACCATGGTTATCAATAAAAGTTGCAATTGTTTTGCTTTCCGTTTCTGTTATGCGACGACGAGATTTATTATCAAGCGCAGGAGCCCAATAGTCTGTAGAAAAAGTACCCATTTTTTTCCTCAACAAAAACAATAAACTTCTATAAAATTCTGTACAGTAATATATATAATTTTCTTTTTTCCTTTTCTATTCTATGTTATAATTTACAGTTAGAAAAAAATCTATAACAAAATTTTCTACTACCTACGTGTATTAGAAAGGTAGTTAAGGTAGTTATTTTTTTTTAAAACTTCTAGAATTGTTTATCTTTAAATAGATTTAATTGATTGATTGGCCAAATCGGTTTATAAATTCTTTGGAATTCTATTTTTATATAAAATCATAAGATTTTTGCGTGATAATCGTTAGAGTTGCTAGTATTAGTATTAGATGCCAAGCAACTAACAAATCTTACAAATTTCCTAATATTAAATTTGGCGCATCGCAATGTTTTTATCACGAGTTAAAAAATTTCCTTTTTAGGAAAATTTAATTTGTCACATTCCAAGGTTCTCGTGTACGCATGTCAAATTGGTTCGTCTTTTTACAGTTAAAAAACGCCATTATTATTTATTCATGAACCAATTGTAAATCTAGGTGCAAGGAAAATTGATGGAGGGAAGACATTACTAGAAAATCATATGATGAGTGTAACAAAAAAATAAAAATTATGGGGAAGGAAAAAAATAAAGATATTTCCAACGAAATTTTTTATGGTATGTTATATTTCTACAGTAACTTTGAACGTCAATTGGCAAATGATGCTCATAGTTCCATTTGAGTTGGAGGAAAAACTTTTAAAATTAAAAGTAGTTTTAGGGAAAATTCAAAGAACTTGGTGATAACATTTTGGCATGTTTATTAACACATGATTATATCACTATACGTGATGAATTTTTTAGACTTTTTTTTTTTTAGAGATAATCTATTAATTTTCAAGAAATATGATATACAATCAATTTCAAAATATCCAAAAGGTCTCAAAAATTCAAATTATTTACAATGCATCATCAATCAAAAAGTTTTATTATTCAAAAGGTTCTTTTCGTGTTCAACAACATTTAAATAAACTATTAAAATCAAAATTAACTATAGTTAATGTTCATCCTCCTCCCCCTTCTTCATCATTTAAAGAAGAAGATAAATGCAACATTGATAGTAATAGTAGCAAACCATTTGTAAAATTTGAACAAAAATCCATCAATAACTTTAAAAATTATTCTTTTCATAATTTATCACTTAAAGCAAAGCAATATTCTATAAGTGTTTTTATGCCAAAAGGTTATCCTGATTCAGTGACTAAAAATTATTGGGGTTTTGTTAAATGGCAATTTTATCATAATGTTGCAGGTTCTGTTACCGGCGGTATTTATTTATTTTTGTTTTTTTTGATTTATTATAATTTATTTTTTTTTTTTTTAATGTTAAGATAAATAAATATGCATGTTTGTTTTAAAAAATAGTTTTGTCAACACAATCTTTATTGTATGCCATGGGACTTGGAGCAAAGTCAATTCCTGTATGTAATTAATTAATAATTCTAACAATGTTTTCAGATTTTAATCAAAATAAAATATAACATGTATATATTAAAAATATAAAAAATTAGATTGATTTTTTCTTCTGTTAATTTGCCTCTATTTCAATATGTATATCTGTCAAAAAGCTTGCAGCAGCATTGAATTGGATAATTAAAGATGGATTAGGTCAGCTTGGCGGTGTTATTTATGCTGCAGTAATCAGCGATCGTTTTGATTCAGAACCAAAAAGACATCGATTTCAAGCAACTGTTGCAATGCAATTATCTTCACTTTTAGAACTGTTGGCACCTTTATGGCCTGGGATGTTTTTAATAATTGCTTCAATTTCCAATATTGGTAATAATTATGTTATAAATTAGAAAAAAATTATTTATTTAATCAATTTAAAAATATTTATTTTTTAATTTAACATAATAGGTAAAAATATTTCATGGCTAGCAAGTTCTGCTACTCGGTAAATCATCACTTATATAATTTATAAATTAAATGGCATTTTCTATATATGTGATGTATGAATGATCTTAATTTAAATACTTTGAATTTATGTATATATTATAATGGATATATATAGTGCACAGATGCATAAAACTTTTGCTTTAAGAGAAAAGTAACTATTTTTTTCAATACAGATATATTTTTATTTTTATTATTTTCAATGATTTATTAAAAAAAACTTTTAAACTTGACATAATAGTTTGGGTGATATTACAGGAAAATCAGGATCACAAACAACAGCAGCAGGATTATTAGGTAAATTTTTTAAAAAAAAAAATAATAATACTTTTTTCTTAAATAATACATATATAAATGATTTCTGTTATAGGAACTGCATTAGGAGTAGTTATTAGTGTAATTATAACAAAATATTATTATCCTGCTATGATAGCATTAGATGCCACAGCAAATTCTTTGATTACTTCAATTCAACCTATTATTCCAATATTTATAGCATTTATTCCATCTTCAATTTTTAATATTTATGGAAGTTATCGCTCAAGTTTATATGTAACAACTAGTACTTTGAATATTCCTCGTGCAGAAATGATTTTTCATGATTTACTAAAGAATCAACCTCATCATCATCATCATCATCATCATCATCATCATCATCATCATCATCATCATCATCACACCACATTGTCAACACAACAAATTCTAACAATTTCATCTCCTGAAGAAATATCACATAAAGAAACTTTTGTTAGGAAATACAAATCTCCATTTAATATACCATTATTAATTGAACCTGCTTTACATCATTACTCATCAGAAAAATATTCATTTAACATATTTTTAGCTCTTAAACAAAAAGGGTTTATTCATTCAGAAGAATACTTTATTATGCACGTTCCTCATCATCAACATCATATTCATCAAAAATATAATAGTCAAAATCTAATACTCTGGTTTTCACAGAATTCAAAACCAATTGATATGATTAAAGGATTATATCATGCATGTGTCTTAAGATATTATTTAGAAAATGAATCCCTTGGATTAAAAAATAGTAGTGATGATAAAGATTATAATAATCAATTTTTAAAATTAATTAATGAAACTCATACTTTTGTGGAAAATTCATTTGATCAATTAAAAGATGAACTTGTTAGTAAAGAATGGGATATTGAATGTTTATTTCTTACTGATAATGAAAATGGGAAATTAATTGTGGAGAGATAAGATTAATATGAACATTTTCATTTTAAATTATTGATAATATAGAGCACTATTAATGTTATTATTTAAAGATTTCTCAAAATTTATATATATTACAAAAAAAAAGTTTTGTTATATTGACAACAACTCTAAAATAAAAATTTCCTATTTTTTAGCCGGCATTTTTTTTGTTTGAGTTTCATCTTTTTTTCTCATTATTTCTTTGTCTTCTTGTTCAATTTCAAGATCTTTTTGTTGTTTATGAGATATACCTTCAACATCTGAAGACTTTTTGTCAAATGGTAAATTATCAGAAGGTGGTTGTTTGGCTGCAGGAATAGCATATTTATCATTTAATTCATGATGTTGTTTTTTTCCGTCATTAACATCTGCATAAGTCTGAGAAATATGAGACACGTGAGATTTTGTATCCTTATGAGCCGATGACATTTTTTTAAACAATAATTCGATTTTTTTTGAGAAAGGTAAAAGAAAAAAAATCAATTCCTATTTTTATATAAAAAAAAACATATTACAAATGCAGGCCAAAACTTACCAGAAAAGCCAAAACCCATTACGTCATCTCAGGCTAAAAATTATGCGATGCTTCAAATTTGACTGCGCCATTTACACAAGTCTGCATATATAATCTCTAAACTCGATTAGAACGCGCGCTTGAGCTATTACAAAAAATTTTTACGTCATTGAAATGGATATACGCAAATATGAACGAATTGATCATAATTATTTAACCTTATCCTACTTACGAGGGACGTCTCAACAACATGTTCATCATGTCTAGAATACAGTGTGTTAAAAAATTACATCAGAGGACCAAGAGATTACATGTAAAATATTATTTATTATATAGACATTAAAATTTTTCTTTTCAAAAATAATCGAATTTCTTTTATTTTTTAACTGATGAAGTTCTAGAAAATATGGATACATATAATTTTATATACATAATCCTCTGACTTTATTTAAGCTACGAATTGATACAATTTCTTGTATAATTATTGTGTGTGTTTTTGTATTAGAGGAATTGTTAAAAAACTCCACGTTAAAATTTCAGACATATTTTGTATCAAGTTTTCTTTTATTCAGTAAAGTATTAATTCGATTTTTGTGTGCGCAATTTTTTTCGTAACAATTTATTTCTACACATTCTTTATTCCTGTGATTCTTATACCTTTACCTAGAACTTGCTGTTTTTTCATTGATTTTTCATCCATCCATTTAAGCAACAAATATTTGGCATAATGTTTACCAAATTTGGCTTGAAATATCAAATAGAGAGAGATCTAGATCTTAACAAAAGAAGATACTGCTTCGCTTGCAGAGAGCGGTTGGAGATCCTTCATATCAGTTTGTATAAGTATGTCTTTCATACATTCATTTTAAAATAAAAAAAAAATAAAGGAGAATTTTAAGATTAAGTTAATATTCGATCAAAATAAATTTTTTCCGATATTTAATTGATTTCTTTTTGACTTAAATAAATTGATTAAATAAATGTGCGTCTCATAAATAAAATAAAAAATATATTCCTATTTTTATTTCTGTTCCTAATAATCGTTTTCTTCACTTTTTTCCCTCGATTAGACCCTGAGCAGTATTAGTTAGTGTTTGGAGCTTAATAGTAAATCATATTTCCTCTACCCACTTTTTGGAAATTATCCAAGGAATAATTAAGAAATTGATGATTTAATCAAGTATTTAACATATGAAGATTTATTGTAGCAAAGGAATCTTTTGCGGTTATATATGTGAGTGGTTTATTACTACAAATAAAAATTATTGGGATCTCCATTGTTTAATTTATTGGTTAGATCTTAGATCTTAATGAAAAATATCTAAATTTGGACGTGTTGAATTATTTCTCTCACAAGTTGTCCAAATTGGGCAACAAAATTTTTTGAGTGACATTATTGTTTTACAATCAAACTACATATATATTATTTAATTACTTTTCATTATTTTACTATCAAAATTATTAAAGCAATACTCTTTTAATTTTCAAAAACGCGTTCATTTTTCTCTAATTCTTAGTACCATTTTAAGCAACACATAAAACCTTAAAGTTAGTGGTTAATGATGTCACATGTACGTTGCAAAATATAAGACATTGTTTCAAGTAAAACTTTTAAGCATTCAATAAAAATAAAAAACTAATTTTTTTAATGATGGTTTTAGAGATTAGGAGGTCGTAGAAAAAATGTTAAAAAAGGATTACAATTTACTGTAATGGTAGTTGGTAAGCTTGTAACTTTTAATTAATTGAGTTTTATGTTTTAATAAAGATATATTCTAACACTTTTGAATTAATTCTAATTTTTTAGGTGCATCGGGAAGTGGACGAACAACTTTTGTTAATACTCTTTGTGGTAAAGAAGTTTTATCCAAAAAATCATGCGATGATCCTGAAAATGCTCTTGTTGAGGAAGGAATTCGTATCAAACCTGTTACTGTTGGTGAGTTATACTTACTTAATACTTGATGTACTAAAAATTATTACTTGTTATTAATTCATCATGTGGGTTTTTTCAAAAGAATTGGAAGAAGATGGCGTTAGAATCGCTTTAACAATAGTAGATACGCCTGGATTTGGTGATAATATTGACAATGGATTTTGGTAACATATATTCCAAAGAATTAAAAATAATTGTTATATGTTGGTTGATCTAAATTAATTAATGCATGCGTACACATGCATATACACGATAATTAGTTTCCAAGAAATTGTGGGTTACTTAGAAAGACAGTATGATGATATTCTTGCAGAAGAATCAAGAATTAAGCGTAATCCAAGATTTCGTGATAATAGAGTTCACGCACTTCTTTATTTTATTACACCGACAGGCCATTCGTAAGTAATGTTATATGTGTATATATACCTACTTAGGATACATATTTTATATTTTTTAATAATAATAATAATAATAAAAGTGATTTTTTTTATTAGACTTCGTGAAATAGACATTGAACTAATGAAAAAACTTAGTCCACGTGTCAATGTCATTCCTGTTATTGGCAAAGCTGATACTTGTACACCAAGTGAATTAGTTGATTTTAAAAACAGAGTAATTGTTTTAAAAATTTACTTTACTTATTTGCAACGTTTATATATAATTTAAGCAATGCTTATTGTTTATTGATGTTATTCTATTTAGATAATGGATGACATTGATCACTATAATATTCCTATTTATAATTTTCCATATGATATAGAAGAAGATGATGATGAAACTGTTGAAGAGAATAGTGAATTAAGGGTAAACACATATATATCTATTTACGTTTATATTTATATTATTATTAGTATTGTATTATCGTAGTATTTTTGATATATAAAATAAATTATACTTGTATTTTTTATTAAATATAATTTAGGCACTTTTACCCTTTGCTATTATTGGTAGTGAAGAAGAAATAATTGTTAATGGAAGATCTGTTCGTGGACGTCAATATCCATGGGGTGTAGTAGAAGGTTGACATTTATAAAATATATCCTTTCCATATATCTTTATTATTTTGTTAATGATTTAATAATATTTTCTTTTTTTAATTGTTCATTTTAATAATAGTAAATAACCCACAACATTCTGATTTTGCTAGGTTACGGTCTGCATTATTAAGGTATTTTTTAAAATTTTTTATTCAAGAAAAATAACATTTTATATGATTAAGCACTGTGTAAATTTAATATTACATTTCATTCAGTTCTCATTTACAAGATTTGAAAGAAATCACTCATGATTTCTTGTATGAAAATTATCGTACTGAAAAACTTAGTAAGACTGTCGATAATCCATCTGAGTGAGTATTATTTTAATGAGAATAATAACAATAGGAGATAATAATCAGTATTGCTTTTAGTTAATTAACAAAGTAATAACAATAATAACTTTTTTAATATTGTTTATTTATTAGTGACGTTAACATTCTACCTGAAACATCTAAAAATGTCAAAATTAAAGAAGAACAATTAAAACGCGAAGAAGAGAAGGTTCGTCAATATTAATTTTTTTTATAGTAACAATGATAGTCGTTTGAAATTAATTAACCCCTTTTATTATTATTTTAATTTCATTAGTTGAGAGAAATAGAATTGAAAGTAACAAGAGAAATCACTGAAAGAAGACAAGAGCTTTTGGCCAAAGAGGAAGCTTTAAGGAATTTGGAAGCACAAATTAGCTCAGGCTCAAGATATGAAACAAATGGTTAAACAAAATATTAGAGGTTTACAATAATAATTTTATTTATTTATTTAATTTGCATTTATTTTATTATATATTAATTTAATTAGTAATAACAGTAAATAATAATTGTAATAGTAATTTTCTTGTTTTTATGGGTGGGGGGAATTTGGCAAAAAATTAATAAACAATTAACTGAAAATATCATTTTAAATATTTATACAATTTACGAGTATCTTTTGGAGAAAATTCTTTCGTTTAAAATACCACGTCAATTACTTTAAGCATAATTAATTTGCTAATATGATTGATTAATATTCCTGAGAAGCAGACTAAAAACCGTGATTATATTAATATGTATAGCAGGTTTAGTATATCAATGGGAAAGAAAACTAATGCGAATAATGGAAATTAATAAAATGTTTACCAACAATAATTGTTTTGTTTTTCAGCTTAGATGTGGAATACATGGTTTATTATGTGTGGTATTAGCTTTCGTTATAACTCTCAAATGTTTAGACAATAACGTATGCAAATATAATTTGCTATCAGACAAAGTAAACGATTTCATTTCAGAGTTCAAAGCACTGAGAAATTACTTAACGCCTATGTTTTATTTTATTATTTCTTGTTTCCCATTATAAGATAATATAGGAGTAATTGATACAAAAATATAGACTAGGCAAATACTTTTTTTTCCTACTTTTGTATATATTCACATCAAGATTTCCAACTTGTTGGTCATTCTCTTAGTTTGCATCCTGCTTGCTTCCGAGTAAGCTTTTCTTTTCCAAAAGGCATTGTAATTCTGAGATGTCTTCTTGCAACTGCAGAATTATCACTATCAACGTTTTTTCTTACCTTCTTTTTGCTAGTACTCTTTGTCCTAATACAAACACGATAATCCATTGATTAATTAAAATCACGGTTGCAAAATCGCAGATTGCCACCTTTCTTTTTTACTTGCTCCTTAATGAAACAATGGTGGCAGTCGATGTTGTTTATATTAATATGGGCCGATTTATTTCTTCCCCAGATTGAAATTTCAAAATATATCAAAATGACATTTTCTTTAATAAAAAACTGGCTATTACAACCTTTTTCTAAGAACAAAAGCAAAGTTTAGCAAGTTATGATAGACGGAAGTTTCATCATAGATTAAAAGATGCTGTAAAAATTTTTGGTGGAATTTTCCTTGGACAAATTTATTAAACATATATTAATATAGGATGAGAATTTTATAAAGTGATAATAAATAAAACAAATAAACTGCGCGTCTCCAAGTGACAATAATACAAAAATGAAAATTTTAGCAAGAAATTTGGCAGGGTTGGAAATAAAGCCAGAGTTTGCATGTGTCTAAAAAGTTTGTGGAGACGATGAAATTTGTAATTCATAAATCTATAAACAAATTAATGTTTTTTTGTTTCAGACACGAATATATTTCAAATAATGATTGCATCATCTTAACCGGGTTATTTTAAATCTTTGAAGATTTATAGTTGTCTTAAATAACTTTGAAATATCTTAAATGTAATTAAACTTTAATTATAATACGTACATATTAATATAGCGTTAGATTATAGAAAATAAAATTACATTGTCAAAGAATAAAATTTATAAGAAAATAATGAAATAATAAATTAATTATCGGCGCCATTTAAAATTGATTGCCTATCTGTTATTATTGTTGTTGTTATTCAAAAATTGGTTTAGAAAATTTTGGAGGTTTTGAAGCTGAGATACTATGTAAATAAGTAGTTGATTATTTGCGACGATAGAATTTTGATGTCCAACGAAAAAATTATTGTCAAAAAAATTGTTTGGATGATTAATGTCCGCAGCAATGGTTGGATTCTGGTCAATGATGTCATTATTATTGTTGATAACTCTAGTTAAGCTTTGGCCAACAAAATTATTGTTACTGATGATGCCTAAATTTTGGTTGGCGATATTATTTTGATGAACGTCGCCAAAGTTTTGATTAATGTAATTATTTTCGACAGAATTCTGGTTTTGATGAATGTAACTATTATAGTAGCGGCCAGCGGTTTGATTGATGTAATTTACGTAATTATGATTATTAGCATTAGAAACAAAGTCTTGGTTATTAATATCAATATTGTTGTTAGAATCATCATTATCATCATCATTATTATTATTTTCAGAATAATTTTGATCCATTTTTAGTCTTTTTTTATATGTTGATTATGAACTTATGAATTTATTTTATATTTATTATGATTATGATTATTTTTGGAGTTTTTTTTAAAAAAATTAAAATTTTTTGTTTTCGAATTTTATCATCTTTTTATGTTAAATTTTATTATTATCATCGTTATTTCTTTTCGAAAATGACATTACAAATAAATTATAAATAAAATGTGTAGATTGATTGACGACATCTTAAGATCGACAGAGAAAGCAGAGAAAGCAGATAATAATAATAATTCCCCGTTTCACTATGTGTCACCAATCAGGATTTTCGTGTAATAAATTCAAAAAATAAAAAATTCCGATTTGTATGTACGCGCGTTATAATGAATTTATACATAATCATAAAATAATTTATTTAATATATTGGAAGAGGAATATTGAGAATGAGTATTTAGAATATTTATTTAATATATTGTGTATTAACATTAGTACGTTGCGCATGAATTTACACACATAATGTCAAATAGAATCGCCATTTATTTATAAAATATACAATACAGCATCGATGAATATATAAACACATTATTACAAAGCATTGTTGTAATTTATATTGACATTTATTATCACCTTTTATGATGATATTTGGCATAGAATCATCATCATTTAAATTTTCTTCAATAAATAACTCATCACTACCCGACTTTTTTTTGGTTGGAAGTTTGAAAGGTTTCTTTAAAACATCATTATTTATTTTTTCACTAATTTTTGAACCTAAGGTTTTCCTTATAGATGGGTGATTACCGATTTCTTTTAAAGGTTCACCTTGATTGTTTGAAAAAAATTTTTAATTTAAATAAAAAAGTTACAAATGATAATAAATAAATTATGAACCAACACGAATATAATATAAGTTACTATTTTTTAGGTAGTACTTCGTCGGAATCTGTCTCCTGTGTTTATATTTACAAAAAAAAGTTTTTTTTTATTGTTATAAAATATATAAACACGTAAATAGAACTGTTTTCCTTAGTACCTCGACACTATATAAATCAAATTGGTGATCCATTTTTTGGAATTGAAGAAATTGAAAATATGCTTTTTATTACACGAAAATCCTGATCGGTGACACTGTGAATCGAGGAATTACACAGTAATTACCCGAAAATCCGAAATCACACAAAATTTCCCTTAGCGGGGAAATTTGTGTAATTCTTGGATCTTTGGGCAATTACTAATACATATTAATATTAATATTGTGTGAATAAAAAAAATTTTTTATGTACTAGCACAAATAACGCATCATAGTGTAACATCAAAAAAAAAAATTTTTTTTTATAACATTAAAAAATATATTTCCATTGCTTCTTTACTAGTTTGTAAGATTACTTACAATGAACAATGGAATTAACTTTATAATAAATACGAACGAATTGCCATAAATTATTGGCATTACTACTCTTTTTGTAACCTTTTATTAATATTAATACTAATTTTGCTGAATTATCCGTTCAAACCGCGGATAATCCGTTCAAATCCGACGATGTATTTTTTGAGCAATTAACGGATGACGGATTGATTTTTAAAGATAAATGACGGATGAACGGATGAAGGATATCCGCGGATCGCATCTCTACGCACAACAAATATAAATAAACAACAATAATAATAATAATCGCGTAACAATTCTTTCTCATTGTACATCTATTTGGAAAAAAAACAATAGTAATATATTAATATATTGATTGATAGTAGTGTCACCAATTAAATTCTGGAGAACGTAATTTTAACTAGTGATAACTATTGTTTTTGTTTTTGTGTGGATCAGAATGAATGGGTTATCAACGAATTGATTTTGAATTAGCGAATAATTTTGTTTAAAGAAGATAAAAGTTTTAAATAAAATAAATATTTATTTGATGATCCGCATATGAATCAGTGAGTGGTCGGCGGGGGGAAAATTGACGAAAAATACACTAATCAGTAACCTTTTATAAAAAAAGATTATTATACTTTTGCCTTGTAAGATAAAATTTTTTTGTGTATGCAAATAAAATAAACCCCAGAGAACATATTTATGTATTTTTTATTGCCTTTAATTATGTAAAAAAAATTTTTTTCTCTTTATGATGTGTTGATTTTTGGATCATAATTAATATTCCATTTGTTATCTTAAGTGATATATAGAACTATCCCCATACAAAAATAATTACAGTACACTCTGTCTATAACGAACTTTTGGGCTGGGCTAAAAAAGTTCGTTATAGGAAATTATGTAAATCATCACGTGATAAACTTTATTTAAAAAAAAATTTAAAATAAATAAATAATA